TATATGGTATGTCTATATTACACTTAAATTACTACATAAAAACACCAAACCCTATTTCTCTATTCCATTCTTCATTTTTAATTCCACTAGCCGTCACCTCTCTCGCTTCTCTCCCCTGCCATCTCGCTTCTCTTCCTTGCCATCGATCCCCATCTCTGCCCAGCCGCCTCTCAATTGCCACCGCTCCCCACCACCTTCTCGACATCCCCATCTCCCTAGACGAGGATTGGCGGCGCGACAACGGCGGAGATTACACAAACTACCCGACAACATCTTAAAGAGGGAGGGCATGGAACAACGTTTTAGGCTTCTTCGGCGGCGATCTGATGTGGTAGATTGGTAATTGGCGGATGACACCAGAAGGTTTTTGTCCTTGCTCCACTTGAGAGTGATTGGTAGGTCGAAGATGTGGAGCGGCTGAGACGGCGGCGCAGGAACCCTGACATCCATAACACACTAACAAAAGCTCTTCGAAACGACATCGTTTGATTTCACGAAGCTCGTACTCAGTTTTCAATGAAATTGGGGTTTTTATTTTGTGGTTGATTTAGATAAAGTATAGTTGTTTTCGATTTTTGTAGTTGATTTCAATAATTTTATAGTTGATTTCGACAATTTTGTCGTTGATTTTGATTTTTTTATGATCGAGATTATTAATTTGTAGTTGATTTTATTTGGTACGCCTGCTATTGAAAACAACTACTTTTTGTAGTCGTTTTACAAGTTTCTTGTAAACCACTAATTTTTGTAGCCGTTTTACAAGTTTCTTGTAGTTGTTTCGGGAAATAAAGAAACAAAAAAATAGTTGTTTTTAACAATTTTATAGTTGATTACGAAGAAAATTGAGCCAAAAAAATTATAGTTTATTTCAAAGAAAAATAGTTGTTTTCGAATATTTAATAGTCGATTTGAAAAACCAAAAACTAAAAAAAAAAAAAGAATTAAAAAAAATAAGGAAAATAATATATTTAAAAAACAGTTTTTTTTTTAAAATAGTTATTTTTTAAAATAAATAAATGAATATTATAATTAATATATAAATATATATATATATATATATATAAAAAAGAAAGAAACGCTAGGGCAACCCTAAGAAACCCTAATGTCATATTTGTAATTTTTTTTTCAATTTCTATCAAATTTTTATCTCCTTAATGTTATTTTAAATATTATTTTCGAATTTTATCATATTTGTATCCCCTAAATATTATCTTAAATATTATTTTTTATTTTTATCAGATTTTTGTCTCCTAAATATTATTTTTTATTTTTATCAAATTTTTATCTCCTAAATATTATTATAAATCATATTTTTTTTAATTTTATCAAATTTATATCTCCTAACTATAATTTTAAATATAATTTTCAACTTTTTTCTGAGACACCTAACTTAATCAAACTATTAATTGAAAAGGATCTTATATGCGCTAAAGATTATTTATGTAGAAACATACCTAAACATCTTTATACTACAATTCATCAGTTTGGTCAATATACGCTTGAAGCAATCAAGAAAACCTATATGGTTCAATATAATACCGAGGAGTGGTATGAATGTGGAATTGGAGTTATTACGGAATGATTTTAATCATATTTTATCTCCTTAATATTATTCTAATTATTATTTTCATATTTTATCAACTTTTATCTCATTAACATTATTTGAAATATTATTTTTTATTTTTTATCTAATTTTTATCTCCTAAATATTATTTTAAATATTATTATCGATTTTCATCAAATTCTCCTAGATATTATTTATAATAATCTGATTTTCGATTTTTACAGAAAAGGGTATATAAATCTGATTTTCATCCCTAGCGAATTTTGTGACCTCGTTTTACAGAATATCTGCAACATTTGAATTTTATTTCTTCCCTACCTAATGCTTCTTCTTTTGGTAACCCGAGTTTAGATTTTGTTTCTTATCTTCTTCTTCATCCTATTGACTGTGTGACAATTAGTTTACATCTTTTTCCATCATGGTTTATAGGTAATTTCATTTTGTTAAATTATGTGTTTCATTAATTTATACCAAAGTTTTCAAATTTTATGTATAACAATTATTTCATTTTATATGTTATTGGACATGTTATTAAAAGGGATGATTTGAGAAAATTAACCAAAAATGGGCGGAGCCACAAGCTATTGGAAGTTGACCTTCAAGACTTATTGTTTGTATGCGATATTTAATTTATTGTTTGTATTTATTTTTGTTTCTTAATTTTCCAATTGTTAATTCCAGTGGCAAAACAGCCTTAAAATGAGGCAGTGGAGAATGGCTTAGTTCCGATGCAAGATGTATAGATGGCCTTTTACGATGGTATGTTGTCGATAGTTTAGTTTTGATTATGTTAACTTAGTTATTAAATCTAATTACTTTTAAACTCAACATGAAAGACATAATTGATGATTTTTTTCCTGGTTTAAATTTTCAATCTACTGGTATTAGCTGATTCAATTCATTTAGAAAATTATTCAACAGTAAAGTTATGTCCTTTTTTTTGTGTGTAGTATACTTAATAATGTTCCAGTATAATAGAATTTTGATCATACGATACATCAAACGTTTGTTTATATTCTTACAACATCAAAACAATGCAATTTGTTGTCCCGTGCATCGCACGGGTACAATTACTAGTATATATTATAGTAATGGAAGTGAATAGGAGGGAGGGTAAATTTGGAATAATAGAAAAGTTGGATCTATCACTAATAATGAAAAAGGGACTGGATCTAACCTTATTAAAAAATGTTAGAGGGGGTTCTCACTAATAGTCCCTATATATATACACTACAATTTCTTGCAATGCTTATAAATTTTCGAACATATACACATGTGACGTAATCTTAAGAAATGTTTAAATTTGTGACCTAATATACTTTTTTCGATGAATAATGATTGCAGTTAACAAAGAAGGGGATCAAATGGTGGAAAGTCGGGAAATTGTTAGTCCGGGTCCCACACTGGCGCCTTTGGGAAGCAAACGCACATGCATAACCGACTTAGGGAAGTGCGGTGCATTTCTCAGAAATTTTAAAAGTCAATTCAGTTGCGCCAATGGTTATGGACAAAGTGCTTTTGCGGAGTGTAGCGAAGACGAACCTGGAGCGCCCTATGGCTATTGCATATGCTTCCATGACTGCTGACGCATAAAAAATGTAATAACAAAATAAATATAATAAAAATAATATAATTACATATCCGTCGAGAAAATGTAACGTCACATAAATAAATTATCGATTTTAAAACTTATATAAATTCGTGAATAAAAAATATACCATTCTATATTGTCGAACTTATTGCATTACGGTATTGATAATCCCTAGCGTAGTTAAAATCTTGCCGATTTAGTATACCGTATACATCTACGATGACAATTGAAAGAAAGTAGTTCAAAAAATAGTGGCAATTAAATGTAAAAAATAGTTAGATATAATTTATATTTTTTTAGGGGTAAATTACGCCTACGCCTAGAGGTAAGGTTAAATTATAAAAAAACTTTTTATATTTTGGTAATTACAATCATCCCATAAACTATGAATATTCTTATACGTTCACCATTGCCGTGTCAAATTTAGTGAAATCTTCTAGATTATGTGGAATATTCTCCAATTTGTACATGTTTTATCCCGTTCGAGCTCCACATTCTGAAACAAGATAATTATAAGACGTGTCTCTTGGCTCGTAAATGTCAGATTGTGGTGCATTAGAAACTGCATTTTTGCATACAACGAGTACAAGCTATAGTATATTCCCTGAAATATGGAAGATTCTGTTGAATTAGACACCATAAAGGTAGACATGTAAGAAAATTCATAGTCGATGGGTGGTTGTAATTATCCCAAACAAGAAGGATTTTTCGTAATTTGACTGTACCAAATGGGATGACCATAATTACCCAAATCATGAACTTTATAATTGATCCTGCCTACTCTAAATAGGGAAAAT